CATTCGTAATTGAATAGGAATACAGAAGCTCGAGGTGAATACTTAAAGATGAATCAATAAATCAATTCAACTCTCTAACCATTTGTGGATACTTAACTAGCCAAATGCTATGTAATGTTCTGAAAATTTAAGCATGCATAAGGTGTGGTTCCCAACTGCCTAAGCCCTGTAGATTTGCAAAGAGGATAAGCATAAATGACTATTATACAATTCTTACCTAGAAAGTTCTTTGGCAATGCAGACAATGGAAAATTTGTGTCTAGAAGAACCAAGGAAAGCTCAGCTGAGCTTGAGTGAAGTTTTCCTAGGGCTTTCAGTGAGTGGAAATAAGAGATTGAAGATGTTCATGAATGTAAGCAAGTGGGATGTGGGAGGTGATCATGCATTCAAGTTCAACTTGGGGAATGTGTATGTTTGAAAAAAATAGGCAGAGGCCAACTTGACATGAGTTACGAGTACCATGTGAAGAATTCAGTGTCTCCTGTGTACAATTACCAGTGTAAAATTTCAGCATAAATAATGAAGAAATACTCTCTTTACTGGGACATATCAGAATTAGGAAAGGCCATAAGAAGCCACTAGTACCAAGGTGTCATTATTATCTGTGTTAGATCAGAATAAAGATGAACAACAGTTGCTGTTGGCTTCAGCTCTGGCTCCCATCAGAACCTCTTAGGAAGTCTTAGTACTGCTGGTACAAGAGAAAGTCTGTAACAATGGGCCTGATCAGTATCGTCTACAAAGCTCTCCAGATGCTTCTGATGAGGAGCAAGTTTGAAAACCTTTTCTAGGACTAATAGAAATAATGCTGAAGAAAGAAAGCAGCGTGATTTAATTGGGATTGCCCTTGTTGATGGTTGTGTTTTTGAAGAGGGCTGGGAATGGATTAATAGACTCTTGTGGGTTCCCTGTTCAAGTAAAGGAGAGGGCCCAAGTTATAGATACATCTCATTCATTTAGTTTTATTTGTAGCTTGAGGTTCCGCAGGCCTGGGCATGATGATTCATAAAAATAATCAGGATCCTGGAGAAGGATTGTTTAAGAGTAAATGCATGATTATCAAGTGAAGTTCTGCTCTGAACCCCACTCACAAAAACACTTATCAATCTCTCTAGAGATGAGTCTAGACGAAGAAGGGAAAACACCAAAGAACTGGTAGAAAATGGATGGATGGAATAAGCAGCTACCAAGACAAAGAGATTATTGAGTAGCGATGGGCAATGGTTCTGGATATGTTTGTGGATAAGAGGCAGGCATTCCATCTTAGTGATCAGTAGGACTCATCATCATCATCTCAGGATATTGGTGTCGAGGGCCTGGGAATTCATCATTTGCCTTCTTATATAGGCATCCCTCATGCCAGTGAATACAGTTTTGTAGAGCCTATTTGTGGAGTCTACAGTGGCTAATCTGCTCTTGCTAATCTTTCCTTGGGTGTTTGCTGCAAAGAAAAGGAGTCCAGAGAAGACAATATTTTTATGAAAGAGCATAGGCCTGGGAGAGGCAAAGAGTTATATAAGACTGGATTCCAGGACACATCTCAGCAAGGGGCAAGAACCCAAAGTGCACAAAGGAAGCAGAAAAGCTATCAGAGGAGTGATCAGGGCTAGGTTTTCCATACAGGTCTGCAAGTAATAGCTAAGTGTTGGAGGGGTCTTAAGGAATAAAACACACAGATTTGTTTATGAGAAAAATCTTCCTGGAATCAGCGTTAGCTAAATTGATGTTGTCTAAAACAGAACATGTAACAAGCAAATAAAAACAGGTAGATTTTTAACCATTGTCCTGATTTTAAAAAGCGGTGTGCATGGGGGGGTGGGGGGATGGGAGTGTGTTGGCAGAGAAAGGCGAAGGTAGCACCGATAAAAACAAAGCACTAAATCAGGAACTGAGAGAAACAAGGAGCCCATATGGTATGCAGGCAATTGCAGATGACATGAGAGAAATTTCAGAGGAAGAAACAAACTATAGTTTTCCATGAATGGACTCAGATTCAGGCTTGTGGAGTCTGTGATGGCTGAGTAAATATGCAGGTATAGTAATCTAAATGGTAGTTGGATCACAGTCTTGAGGTAGCAATTACTAAGTTGCTAGCACATCATTGACTGGATTTTACTTGTCATATGATACAGAAAACATTACACAGAGAGAGTACAATGCAAGAAAAAGAATAGCAGAAAGATTCCTGATGTATCGACATCTGAGGAATGAAGGGGAAACAATTCTGGGGCTGTCTGGAGAGAACAGGGAGGTAGGAAGAAAAAAAAACCTGGGTGGGAGGAATGTGGGGTGGAATTATGATCTCAGGGAGGTTCAACTGCAAGATACCAGCTGCAATCAACACAAATAGAAAGGACAGGGGAAATCCACTGAAAAATGCTTGCTAAATCCCGTGAGTTTTCACAGAACAGTGGACAGAAGCCAACTGTAATTTGGTCACAAGTAAATGGATGAGAAAGCAGACAAAGCAAACATTGGGTGACTGTTTAATGTTCCCCCCTCCTTGATTATTACCCCTAAAAGCTCTGCTGTGAAGGAAAAGAAGTAGGTGAGGAAAAACCTGACAGCTAGAGTGATTTAGAGGATGCTTTTGAAGAATGGGGCAGGATAGATAAGACTTTGTGTTAGGAGTCATGTATAGTGAGTTCAGAAGACATGGATGTGGTCATTGGCCTCTGCTGTGTCTACTATCGCAAAAGGCAACAGTGGTGGTATTGAACGTCCACAGTACTTTGTTCTAAATGTTCCTCAATCCCTTACTGTACAAATGGGGAGTCCGCTGGGAAATGGGTAATGGTGGTGCATGTCTTTAATCCCAGCATTCAGGAGGCAGAGGAAGTTGGGTCTCTGAGTTCAATACCATCAGTGCTACAGAGAAACCCTGTCTCAAAACAAACAAATCAAATCTCCAAATGGGGATTCATGTACGTATCATGGCTGCCTTGAGAAGTGGATCCTGCTATTATCTCCATTTTTCCTACAGGGAAACTATGATACAAGGACATCAACCAGCCTAATTTGTCTTCCTCATATTTCATCAAGCTTATGAATTAAACTCAGCTTCCAAAACAATATTTAAAAATATGTATCACCAGATTTGATTGAGAGGTGGGACCTGGGCCTTTCTTTACTTATAGATGATGCTCCATTATCTTACAAAGGGGACTGTCTTCAGCAAATGTGTGTCTTTGTAGTTACTTCATATCTAAAAGAGGTTAAATTCTTGCTTAACTCAACAATACTTGACAATTGGAAGCAATGCAGGAACTCGCCTTGAAAATGAATTTAGTGGGGGAATATCAATATGCAATTATTCTGTGGTGACAAAGGTAAAGTAGTCACAAACATTAAAATAAAATGTTGGTGAGTGATTCAGAGTAGAAATCACAGTGGGATGTAGGAGAGGTGGGGAGAGAATGATGGATCTGGAATGATACTGAAGCAGAGATAACCCTAACCATGCAGTCGGGTGAAGCTTGAAGTTGCAGACACTTGGTAGTAGGGTACATTTGTGGTATATTGCTCATTTTGATGGCATCATCTTTTCCTGGTGTTATGGTGTCATTCAACCAACGTGAGATTTGAAAGTCTCAAAAATAATTAAGAAATTGCAAACCTCTTCTTTTACTGTTTTCGTTATTAACACCAACACAAGTTTCCCGATTTACATGAAGCATTTCATTTTATCATTAAAAAACAAAGCAGGGGCTGGAGAGATGGCTCAGCCGTTAAAGGCTAGGCTCACAACCAAAAAAAAATAAAAAATAAAAAAGCAGTGCAAACAAAACAAAAGCTAGAAATAGCTCAATGTTATCCTCGAAGAAACAGACTGGGCTAGTGTCACAGACCTAGACAGCAGTAGAGTTTAGACCTGAATCAAACAGTGTGAATCCATCCCCATTGCTGCACATTATAGTGTCCTAATGTCTCCACTTCCTTCAGAGTTTCTCTGGAGCTACCATGTCTAGGAATAGGACAATTAACAATCACAAACTTTAGTCTCTATATTCTCCTAGTATTTGGGAATTGGTTTGTCACAATCAATATTGGGAAAATTTGAACCAAGTTTTTTTTAAAAAAAAAACAGTTAAAATGTGTCTTACTGGAAGCAGAAAAGCTCCCAGTTTTAATTTAACCTTGCTGACTAGATTGTTAAACACATTTCTTTAACATTTAATGTTAAAGGGTTATGTATATCCTTGTACATGGTTTGTATTCTAGATATTTGTAGGCTGATGTTATACCAGAGAAACACTTGATTAGCCATTAAGCAAGGCTCTTGAGACAGGGAGCGTGCGTGTGATTTTATCTATCTTTCCGATGCCGTGCTCACTGCTGGGGTACAGAAATATAGACAGTATTCCACTGATGTCATCTGGTAGAGCTAATAATCTGGGTGAAGGCCAGCAGTAAGAAACAGACACAAACAGTGACCTTGGTCAGCTCTCATCTGGAAACTTAAAAAACAGACAGACAATTAAAAATACCATTGCTCTTCCTGATGCCTTCTGTTTCTGCAGCCGTGCTATGGAAAGCCGGTGAGGACACTCTATGGAGCAGAGCACAGCAGCTCCATACCAGCATGAGTCCTGGACTGCCTCCCAGCCCCCTGCTTTTATTTTTCTCAATCCACACTAAAAGCTATAAAAGATATCAAGCCCGTCCAAATCTCTATTAAATTAATTTCTTCTGAATTTGATATTAAAATAGAGTGGGAGTTCTTAAGTAGATTTGCTCTAAACATTAACCCAATGGCAGGAATCTCCTACGAGTTCAGATGGGATGAAATTACCCAATGGCCTCTAGATGTTTGTTATCTGGAAAATTCTGAAATGTAAGTTTATACCCTTTTGGATTCTTGAACAAATGTCTCTATTTCTCTGCATTATGTGGGCCATTCTTTAATGGTACATTTACACATTCAAAGTGCTATTGAATGTCTACTTGGCTTTGTTTCTGTTAAAGTCTTACTTTCCCAATGATTTCCTTTTCCCCTACAGGCTCAGTTTGAACTCAAGACATTTCACATCCGGGGTGAGCATGCATTAGTAACAGCAAGACTTGAAGAAACTGTTGAAAATCTCAAGCAACAGTTAGAAAAGCGCCGGGGAGGATGTGAGGAGATGAGAGATGTGTGTGTTTCCACAGATGATGACTATTCTCCAAAGGTCTTCAGAAACGTATGCATCCAGACAGACAGAGAGACCTTCCTCAAGCCCTGTGATGCTGAAAGCAAAACAACCAAAAGCAGCCAGATAGTACCCAAGAAGCTGAATATCTCCTTAACCCAGCTCTCTCCCTCAAAAGACAGCAAAGACATCCATGCCCCACTCCAGACAAGAGAAGGCATCTCTTCATCAAGTCAGCAGAAGTTATCCCCTTCCGCTCCTCCCACACCACCACCACTCCCTCCGCCTCCCATCCCTCCCCCTCCGCCTCTCCCACCTGGACTTGGACCTTTGCCACCAGCACCACCCATATCACCTGTGAGTTCTGGGTCACCACTGCCACCTCCGCCACCTCCTCCTCCACCTCCTTTGCCTCCAAGTGCTGGACCACCCCCACCTCCTCCTCCACCACCACTTCCTAATGTCCCGGCTCTTCCTAACAGTGGAGGTCCTCCTCCTCCTCCTCCTCCCCCACCTGGACTGGCACCTCCACCTCCTCCTGGACTGTCCTTTGGACTCAGCTCTTCTTCCAGCCAGTGTCCTCGTAAACCAGCCATTGAGCCCAGCTGTCCCATGAAGCCTTTGTATTGGACTAGAATACAAATAAATGATAAGAGGTAAGCTCTCCCTTGACCCAATATCAGTTACGAATTCAGAGGATTATTCCCAAGTCATGCTTTATTATGGACAATTCAGTATTTGCACTGGATAGCACCCATTCTCAAATATAATATGATGACTGCGTTGGATATACAAGCTTAGAACGTCTGGGAGAGATTGTCTTTGCTATGTCCTCTAGGACAAGGAATGTGGTCAGTATCAGATTCCTCTGCAAGGTAAATGTTCCATTTCATGGACTAGAGAAGAGTTCAGGTCCAACTTAACTAGGGCCCTCTCTAACACCATTGTATTATTAGTTGAGTAATTATAAAGAAACTGGAGCAGAGTCTGTATTGTTGGTTCACTGAGGATTCCTACAGTATCTTTTATTATATATCCTTTCTTAATTTTTGATAATTGGCCTTGTAGTCTTGTGTTGGTCATTTTTTTTTTCAATCACTATGATGAGTACCTGAGAAAAATGGCAAGAATTTATTTTGGCCTTTGGTCTCAGAGATTTCAGTCTATCATGACAATGAGGGTGTGGCATAGTGGGGTAGCTCATCTCTTGCCCAGGAAAGAGAAAAACGGAATATAACATCTGGGCTATGAGCCCATGATGTACTCTATTCAGGGCTGATCTTCCTACCCTTGGTTAATTCCCCCTGGCAATGTCCCTATAGACATATTGGAAGGTTTGCTTCATTAATTTCTTAGAGGCTTCTTGGTGAATCTGTATATTTAACAGTTATGTATGCTTTACATTATTCATGAAAATACTGAGACTTGGCTTAGTTTTATTCATTGTTTAGATCAGAAGAGAACCTTAAAATATACCCACCCCACTTTTGAACTCTGGTTCATAAGACTTCTTTTACATCTGTATTCCTTATTGGCCTTCAGAGAAAATATCCACGTGCAGCCAACTGACATGGAGAGTATCTTCATTTGTATATGTTATTGAGCTGGGTCTATAAGGCAGAAAGTCATGCTGACTTGGAAACTTCCATATAAGAAAGTTACAGTTGGATTTCTTGCTTCGTTTCTGAATCTCTCAAAAGGACAATGAGAAAGATATTGACTCATTTCCTGGCCACTTTCTAGTTTTGAAATTTATTTATTTGCAAAAAACTGTATAATAATTACAATAATTTAAAAACTACATTTCTAAGGTTATTCCCCAATTCAACCTTATGTAAAATTTTGCTTAGAGAAGGGAAGATAATGAAACAAAATAACATATAGTTCACAATTACAAAAAGTTGAAAATAAAACCATGGAAACTAAGAGCTGGGGAAATACCACCAGACTAAGCATGTGACGAACCAAGTTCTGCTGTATTTCACACTGTCCCCAGTCTTCTTGCCAAAAAGTAAGGGTCAAGAGTTGACATGTGGAAATTTCTAGATATATTGATGTAATTCTGATAAAAGTGCGGTATAATTTCCCAAATGCATTTTTTTTTAATAAACGAGATGATCCTAAAATAGTTCCCACCACTAACACTCAAGTGCTATATCCCATCTCTCATTTGAGATTGGGATATTTCCTAAGAGATGATTTCCCAGAACATTCGAGTCCTGGTACTTTATTAGAACTCCCAAGCTATTGCGCAGTCACCCTGCAGTGATGGATCCCACCTGTGAGCCCTAGACTAGAGTGTCCTCACAGCACATGTGACTGTCTCACACCTGTTTCTCACTTGCATGCCTCACTCCATTCTCCAAGAGACTTCATGAGCATCGAGCACCATAGACATAGCATCATAAAACTGAGCTCCTGGAGGACAGGCCCTTCATCTGCTGTTAAAGGAAGGGTAAATTCAATTTGGAGGAAATCACTGATTTTTATTTTCTTTTCCCCTGTAATTTCCCACTTTTAAAAATGGAAAACAGTCAAATGCTCAAGCTTTCATTAGTTACCCTGGTTAAGCTAGTTCTGCAAACATCGTTAACCTAGTGTTTTACTTTCAAATCAAATAAAAAGTAAATGAACAGGACATGAGGACTGAGTGACTGGGGGGATGTGGCAGCCTTGTCCCCTCTGTGATGTGGTAAGACCTCAGCAGTCTCCTCCTGCTAGCATAACACACTCAGGTTCTCTCATCAAGGGTCCCTCAAAAAAATTTTTTATACTTTCCAGCACAACTGCTTTGAGTATAAAAATCCTGTCTTGGTACCAAATCATTTAATAGTATGAGAAATATGTTTATTATATGTAAAGTAGGCTATATCTTTATGTTATATGAAGGCAGCTTTATTTTTAGTTTTAATTGAAACAAAAATATATAGTGAAACAAAGGTATATACTGTTGGGTGTTGTGACCATGCCTTGCTTGTAAGTTTGAAAAATCAATATAGAATAAATTTACTTTTTTTCCCCGTGACATTAATAGTAACTTGATAAAGCATCTCAATTCCACCCATTTGAAGAAAATAAACGACATATTCCAAATGAGGGCACATATAGAGAAGCCTGTATGCCCCGACTCTTAGAGGTAGCTCTGACATACTTGATTTCTGGCAGCTTCTTGTTCTCTGCTTCATAACAGAATGAACTTTCTGTAGAGACTAAAATACAAACTCCCCATGGATGCTCCAGTTATAATCACCCTGGGGTAGCCATGCAAGGTGAAATTGTATGGTTTTGTGTGGTAATGTCATCTCTGGTGGAATGCTGCCAATGCGTACGTCAGATGAGCAGCTGACCAGTCATGTTCTGAAGCCCCTGGACTGAGATGACCTGCGTTAATCCTGAAGATTACATTTAAAATCCTCAGAGAAAGAGTCACATCTTTACTGTTCCATTTTGAATCTTTTGAAGAATTACTTTGGGCCTGTGAGATGGCTTTGCAGAGTAGGATGTATGCAGTCAAGCCTGGTGACTTAAATTTGATTACATGGGTCCTGGTCGTAGAAGGACAGAACTGACATGGTCCTCTGACCTATACATGCATGCTATGGCATATCCATTCTTCACATACACATGCATATACATAAACACATTAGGAATAAGTAAAATATAATACAGTTTTAGAAGGAATGACCTTGCCCATGTATGGAATTCCTTATCCTGTCGCTCTCTCTGTAATGCCATTTTTGCCTGCTGGAGATGCTATGGTAGAGAGAGAAGCAGTTTACATGGTCCAAGCCTCACCTCCAAAAGTTCTAGTCCTAAGGAACTTCTCCAGAGCTCTTTTACTGAACTAATGACCATCATATTTTTTGGATGTTTACATGAAGATGCAGGCTAAAATATCCTGTTTTTGACTTCCAAAATGTGTAACATGAAAAGCTTCTATTCAAGCTTTACCAGGGTTTTGTATTTTTTTTTTAAAAGTGAATTAGAGAAAGGTTTCCTTGCATTATACTCTTTCCTGCTTTGTTTCCTACAGTTAACTTGATGCTTTCTTTTTCAAGCCAAGACGCCACACCAACTTTATGGGACTCCTTAGAAGAACCTCATATTAAGGACACCAGTGAATTTGAATATTTATTCTCCAAGGACACAACTCAACAGAAGAAAAAACCCCTGTCAGAGGCCTACGAGAAGAAGAACAAAGTCAAAAAGGTACTGTGCAATCATTATTATAATCGAATACACGTTGGAGTCCACTACATCCTGCTGGTTGGTGCCCTCTCCCCAGAAAGTGATCCAAGTCTTGAATGACAAAAAGATCCAGTTAGTTTAAGAAATCCAGAATTGCTGCTTTGGCTTTCTCTTCTGAATTTTTAAATGTTATTCTGAACTGCTGTCTTAGCTAGGGTTACTACTGCTGTGGTGAAACACCAAGACAAAGACTTGGAGAGGAACGTGTTTATTATGTATATGCTTCCTTATCACAGTCCATCACTAAAGGAAGTCAGGACAGGACCTTAAACAGGGCAGGAGCTGATGCAGAGGCTGTGGAGGAGTGCTGTTTGCAGCTTGCTCCTCATGGCTTGCTCAGCCTATTTTCTGAGGACCCCTGGCCTGGTATAGCCTCACCCACAATTGACTGTGCAATTGACTGCATGGATAACCAATTAAGAAAATGCCCTATAGACTTGTCTGCAGCTGGATCTTATAGAAGCATTTTCTCAATTGAATTACCCTTCTCTCCAATAACCCTAGCTTGTGTCAAGTTGATATAAAACTAGCCAGCACAATTAGAGTCATTAATTCTATTGAAAAATGTGTGCAAATTGCTGTTAGTGAAAGTGGTTTGTGTTCCACCCCCCCAAAAATTGGTCTCATAGGCCTGTGGTGATTGCTCAGTTGGTAAAGTGCCTTGTCACTAAGCACAAGGACATAAGGATTAAAGCCAGGTATAGCAGACTGTAGAATCAGCATTGAAAAGACAGAGATAGGAGGATCCCTGGGGCTTGCTAACCAGCCAGTGTTGAGAACTCCAAGTTCAGTGAGACAATCTGTAATTGAAGATCCTCAACCTCTGGCCTCCAAATGCACATGTACAAGGTTATATAAGCACTTACTCACATATACATAAATATGTACACATATATGTAAATATTTCTCATTCATTTTTTTATTCATAGACCCAATTAGAGTCTATGATACAGGGCTTTGTACTAGGGAGAACATGTAGCCATTTAAATAATAACAATTAAGCAAAATGGAATGTTCAGTCTTTTAACTACACTAGGTACTTTTCTTTAGTAGCTACTAAATATGGTTACACAGTAAGTTCTATTGGACAGCTCTTTGTAAATATTAGCAATATGTGAGGTGGGGAGAAACTAACCCTAAAATGGTCATTGGCCTGTGGCGCTTAGCAGTCATTAATACAAGCAAAGCTCTGCAATCCTACAATAGAGCAAAGAGAGAGGATTGGCATAGGCAAGGTTGGGTGGGGCCCACAGTTTTCAATGACATTTTCAAGACAGGTCCCATTGGGAAGATAACTTCTGTGTGAACACATGAGGATTTTAAAAACCAAAGGCTACTAGTCAACTGTAGAAGAACTTTACCATCAATTGTGATTGGTCCTCAAGCAATCAGGCAGATGTGAGGACCAATCACACCTCAGTGTAGGACCCAAGGAAAGGTACCAGCTCTTGCTTTCTCCTAATCCCTTAGCTGTAGCATGAAATAATATCTGTTGTGGTTTAGTGAGTACCCCAAAGGCCCATTGAGGAAAACTCTGCATCCCAGGGTGCTGATACTGGATTCTATAAGATATGAGATCCCAGTAGAAGGTACTTGGATCACTGGAGGACATCCCTCAGAGGATTGTGGGACTCTAGTCTCTTCTCAGTACCAACTCACGAGGTACAGAGAGCAGTTGGGTCTGCCATACTCTCCTGCCCTGATACAAAGGCCTGGCAAAAAAGCAACAACAGATTTTGACACAGAACATACAGCGCAATGGGTAAAAATAAGCCTTTTCTCTGTCTTAGTTATTTGCCTCAGATGTCTTGTTATTGTGTGTAAAAGCTGACTAATACATCAACCACACATCATGTCCTTCTGAAATAATGAAATGAGCTCATATTGTATATAGTCCATAGTATCCAATCAGTCCACATTGTATGATGGCTGCTCTCATGATTGCTATGGTCACTGCCGTTGCTACAATTCCTTTGCATTCATGTTTTGTTAACAGCAGAGTGGTGCTAAGGACAGTGAGCGCTGGGTCAGTTGCCACTGGCTGTGTGAACTTGGAGTAGTTGGGTTCCTTCTCATTTTTTTCTCTTTCTTATAAAGCATGATGAATACCAAATATACTTAACTAGGGTGCTGTCAAATCTATGGGGATCTGAGAAAGGTACAAGTGGATAACATAGGTTATTACTATCATCAGTGTTCATTCTTAAGTTATGTGGTAGGTTTCATGTGTCAGTTCGTACTCCCTATGCTGATACAGACATATCTATAATCCATGGAATGGGCTATGACCTACAATTCCTGATTGTAGTTTTGTGATCAAAATTAAATTTTCTCATGGACCTGCCTAAAACCATGATGAACAATTTTCATCCTTCAAGTACATTAGGAGTATTTTATCATGAGAAAAATGTGATCTCAACAATTAGATATAAGATTGAATCTTTACTCTCTTTTAACTTTTAATTATGTGCATTTGCATGTGCATGTATTTGTGTGTGTAAATGTCTGTAACTATGGCGGCTAGAGGAGGGCCCTGAATCTCCTGGAGCTGGAGTTACAACCATTGTGGGCTGTCTAACATGAGTGCTAGGAATCAAACTCAAGTTCTCTGGAAGAACAGTAAGTGCCCTTAACCACTCCTCCATCATTCTAGCCCACAGACTGACTCTGTTAAAAGTACGTATCACATGAAGCACCTGGAGTTCTTCTGTAAGAGCAGTACTGGGCAAGAGTCACTGACAAACCATACATGTATTCCAGAAAAATTAGGTTCTTACAGTGGTATGTATGTGCATGTGAGTGTGCATGCGCTGTGGAGAGACTGGCTTTCTAGATGCCATTGGTCATTATTAAAAAGGCAGAAGAAAAACCCCGACTTTCTATGGAGTCTTAGTTTACTTCTGTCAGCAAGGTTTCTCTAACAGAAACTCTCAAGTATTGTCTTATGCAATATCACATTAAATTCTTCTGTGTTCTCCATCTCTTCTTCAGTCGTATCGCTCTTTTTCTTTCTCTCTGGATGTTTTGGTAACATGTTGTTTCCTCCTAAAATGAATTATTTCTGTTTTGGTGAGGAACATTTGTTTTCAAATATGTTAACAATTGCTCATTCATTTGAGTTTCTTATCTTCTAGTTGTGTGCCTACTCAACAGTTGATTTTAATTAAGGCAATTAGTCTTCATTATTTGTGTTGTTGCTCTGTCTGAAGGACAATGCGCTTCCTTTGAACTCTTCCAGTGTTCTCCTTGGGAAGGTTCCATCACCTCACAGAATCTATATGTATGTGTGTTATGTTTGAGGATTCAATGCAAATGGAGCCAAAAATTCTGGATCTGGTAGGCTTAACAGGAGGGATGATGTTAGAGTTTTCACTGAACTTTGTAGCCTACTTTAAGTTGACTGCAAACCCTCCCCTTTGAGCCTGCACAGCCTCCAGACCCGTGCCCAGATTTCAAACATCAACATGGGTCCCTTGGTCTCCTCTAGAGTCAGATGTTTGTTTTCTTTTCTCCTGAAGAGAAGATGAAAGTGGCTTCTTAGAGGTCATTCAGCTTTGGGGGCCAAATCTTTCAGTGTGATCATGAGATGGTCTCCATATGAGAAGACAACAAGAATGCTTGCCAAACAGGTCTTTTTATAATACCTGATCTGGAGAGAGAAGCATGTGTGCTGTAAATTGAAGCATGTGGTGGCTTTCTGAATCTTGGGAAGAAGGGCTCAGCCAACATCAAGGTGGAAATGTCCAAATCTTTTTTTTTTTTTAATAGAACTGGTGTGGTCTTTGTGTGCGCATCAGAAAGGGTGGACTTGACTGTTGAGTCTGCTGCACTCAGCTGAGATCTGTGTTTACATTTCTCACTGTTGAGCCTGTCTTACGCTAAGACAGACATGGATTACCAAACTGGGCAGGAATCTTGTTTTACTATATGTAGTGTAAGGATCAGAAGGAAACCCACTATAGTGTAGTTCTCTCTCTCATTAGGATTTAGAACCAAGACTGGAGTGACTTGTAGAGCGTTGTATATCTCTAGCTGGGAAAGTGCTAATGACATTGAGCACTGGAGAATATGCAAAAGAGCTTCAACATATGTCTCTGGATCCTGTTTAAATTCACTACACTGTTAATAGTCACAGTTTTCACTGAGAGGACTGAGTTGAGGTGGATGAGGAGGAACAGCCATTGCTACAGGAGTCAAAACACAGCTACATATAATGAAGTCTAAACTATTTCTTTCATTGTGCGATTATAGAAAGTGTTCTTTAGTTTTCCAATTTAAAAAAAACAAACAAACAAACAAAAGATTCAACCCCCTGAAGAAAAATATGTGCCTTATGTACAATTACTGGAAAGAAATACATAGATTCCAACTGTGTTTTTTTTTTTTTTTGACTCAGCCCATTGCACTTAAGTTATTTCTAACTAAAATTGTAGGCATGACAGCATTGTGTCCTTAGGGGGTTCTCATCCTCCCTGGTCACATCAGGCCCATCAGCCAGGACAAGCACAACAGTAATCACACTGAAAACAAGAACTCCAAACACAAGGATTCATAATACCACCACAACTTTGTACAGTCTTTATTATTCCTCTTATCTTAGCAAATGTCCTTCCCACATCAACATTTATATATATATATTTGAGAAAATCAACTCTGTAGCTTTGCTGCTATGGGACCAAACAAAAATTGTAAGTATGAAAATATTTTTAAGTATTCTTGGAACTTTGTTAATTTCTTTATAAACTATTGTCATGTCAAAGCTTTGGGAAGAAAATATTGCCAGGCGTGTTTAGACATACTTGTAATCCCTGCACGTAGGAAGCTGGAGCAGGAGGATAGTAAGTTCTAGGGTAGGTTAGGCTCCATGAGACTGTGTCTTTAAAAAAAAAACAACCTTAGAAAAGAATCTAGAACATCTCTGGTCTGTTCTCACTTTCCAGTATTTATGGAAGCATTCCACA